ACATGTGGTACAGCATGCGCTGATATCCACTGTAATCCCCAGAAGCTGTCTCTTATACACATCTAGATGTGTATAAGAGACAGGACAAGCTGTTAAAACCAGAGTCCCATTACACAACAGTTATAAATATAGGAGGATAAAGTGAATGAGAAGCTAATGTACTTAACAATGTAGTAGCTTTGGTTCATATAAAACTGTTACCTATAATATTTGCATGTATTTTTCTCTTTAAAAAAAATAATCATTTTCGAAGATGTAAATTGCCTTATATGGTAAGCTTCTTGGGGTTATTTTGCCAACTTAGCAACCAAATATAAATATAAAAGACGAAATACATTCAAAGTTAATTCAAGGTCAAATGGCAGACCAGTTTTTGAACAGTTTTTCTCTCATCACTGTTGGAAGTCAGTTGAACCATAGTTCAGCTGATTCTCAGTCAATGCCTTGCAGGCTTTTCCTCTGTAAAAAACCCAGCCTCATTAATATCATCACATTATACTCAAAGTGATTTTTCAGTTCAAAAGAAATTTTATCCATTGATGCGCCAAACGAGTAACCTCATAACCCAATTATTGACAGGTACGTTTCAGAAAATTAGAAATAGTGCAGTCACATGATCAGTCACATGACAAATGCGTTTAACACTAAATTAGTCCGTGGATGGATTCCCAGCCGTCAATGGGATGGAACGTCCAGCTGAGTTAGATGGCCATCTGAATATATTATGAATTGGGTTAAATAAATAACCTAGATTCTCAAATGCCTGGACTTAGTCTAAACACCAGTATCTAAGACAAAAAACTAAAGGTGATAGCGAAAAGAAAAAAACAAGGGTGCATCTTAAAACGGATAATTAACTGGTAGAAGTTCATTGGAAGAATGTGTCCAGAACAGAGGGAGGTAACTAGTGGGGTTAATTTTTCAATAGCTTCTGAACGTATGAAGAACTAGGTCAGGGAGTAAACAGCATGTAGATGCGTGCAATCTGAAACAAACAGCTGCGATCTGTGATCTTTTTCGTGGAGAGTTTCTTCATCTCTAATTGAATACCGGTTTTCAAGAGCCTTATTTAGATCATTCAACAGAGAGTGAATGCATGGTGATTCCAGTGGTTATTTCAATCACTGAATGGATTATAGTACCATCATATGACTATAGGTGCCAACATTCACAATTTTTAAAAATTTACGCATCAAATATAGAAAAGAGTGCGAATTAAAGTATACGTTTGTAAGTTGTAATAATTTAATATTCAATAGGAAACTTAGTATGATGAAAAAGAATTGTAAGGGGGTTTATAAGTTTGAGGTTATGCTTTGCTTCAAATACCATTGTCATTGGTCCAATTAAGCATAATTTTAATTGGCAGCTCCATTTGGAGGACTTAGCAGTTATCCCTTGTTGGGTGGGAGGGTAATTAAAAAAAAGAAGACAGGAACAAAAATAGGAAGATGCAGGGGAAAGGGAAATTATACAGGTTAAGAAAAGTAAGTCGGAAATGAAGTGCTTAGGAATGGGGGAAAGTTCAGCCAAGAGTACACAAATAGCATATCCCAACCATCAGTATTTGATTTCCTATAATAGAAGCCATGTGATTAGTTATCGCATACTATTTTTGTGATATCATTTACTAATCACCCAACAAACCTACATTTAAGTTATTACACCAGAGATAAGTAATACAGTATAGCTGACCTACTTAGGTATAATAGTATATGTATTGGTATAGTACCAAGCTATCCCAATACTAGGGAGTTTATATCTGCACATACTACCAGTCTTCGGTACCTAATACTAGCAAGTACTGCAGGGGACGCACACCCGCCCCCCCCCCCCCCCACCAAAAAAGCTTGCGCCCTGTTGTCACTCCCCCCTTATTGAAATTGTCCGAATCAAAAAAATCAAGTTCAAGTAGTTAAAAGTCACCTTATTTTTTACTCATCAAGCCCCCAACCTCTATCATCGAGCACCCCTTCAGCCTCTTCCCCACCCCCAAGACTCCTAGATATGCCACTGAATTACAGTAATGTGCTGCACATTTTTGGAACATTATGATAATGAACTAATGTTTTTGTGAGAATAGTAGTAATTATATTTAACTTTCATTTTGGAAATTCAAAATCTGTATAGATAAATGAAACAAAACAGATAACAAAGTACAACTTATGGCATATAAACAGAATAGAAACTATGGGGTCACTGATAAGTTTAACATAAGAAAGTATGAAACAAACTCCTTAAATAGACTGATACTTCGTTTTACTTTATCACTGTTTTGGGAGTTTGTTTCATACTATCTTATGTCAAATAGAATATTACTTACTCAGAAAACATTAATGTTATAACATTCCCAAAATTGTGAACGTTGTGGTTACATTATGTCACAACATAATGTTATTGCAATATAATACAGCAATGTTTTCAACATTACTTAGTCAAAAAAATATATTACACAAAACAATATACTTTTAATAGCTTGGAGATTATACTATCCATCTCTATCATTTTAAATTGGGAATATTACTAATGAATATTTCTTGAATTTAAAAAAGAAAAAAATTTATAAAAAATTAAAAAAATAATAAAAATCTTCTCAAAGTGCTCAAAGAAAATAGAAAAGAAATTAAGAAAACTAACCCACTAACTATCCTAAAGATAACCAGACACAATTTGAGAACGAACCAGTATCACAATATAATAAGAATTAACATGAACGAACAGCAATAATATTAATATTAAGTTAATTTTATTAATATTGTATAGTGCAATATGATATGGTTACTATGCACAAGTGAACATCAAAATCATTTCTTTTAAGAGCATTAACATTTTTAAAACCATTTCTTCCACAAAACTATAGTTATATAACTAAATTATTCTTTGGGTATAAAAACTGTGTTTATACTATGAATTTGCTGGTAGCCCAACACATAATTTGTATTTCAATTAATGTACAACAATAATCTCTTACAATACAATCAATTTATCTCTATCTAATATTGAAGTATTAATCTCTCGACTTCTTGTTTATCTCGCAATTCCAGTCATTTATCTCTAGGTCTAGGCAATTTTAACAAGTGGGACAAAGGTTGTCGGAGAGATTAAGTAATATTATTTACAAACGTACAAAACAGATACCTGATGGACTGTAGGTAAAGATTGATATGACTGGTACTGGGTGGGAAAGAACTGGTACTGGTAGGATTGGTACTGGTTTGTAAGGTACCGGTACTGGTAGAACTGGTAGGTGCCTTGCCTCTACATCTCAGGGACCAGGTTCAAATCCTGCAAAATAGAGAATATTGTTCTCATTTATGTGAAAAGAAACTTAACTGATAATTGATTCAGTTTATAATATTAAGACTTGAACACATACTTGGCTCCTGGGGGAAAAATATTCCAAAATGTTGCTGAGCAGGTAACATTAGCTTTTAAATATAGCAGGTATCCAATGCTCCTGGACAGTGGCGCCAGTAGATATATTTTTGGGGGTGCTACAGTAGCTCTGCCCGGTTGGGGGCTTGAACTGTCTGATAGGGGCTTAAGCCCCTGCTACCCCCATCCACATAAATTTCTTACGCAAAATTCATAAACAAGTCAGCCACAGAGTCATATAAGCTATAAATTTCCTTAATATTTTTCATTTTCTCCGGATTCCAGGAGGCCTAGCCCCTTGGAGCCCTGCTAGGCCTTTGTCCCAGAACACCGCTGCCTTCTCTAACAATATGTGTGACAACCCTCTCTGACAGCTTAGCACCTTTCTCCCTGAATGTAAATCTTAGAGCCACCAATGATGAAGTATTCTGGTGGATCCAAATAGAAGTTGATATTGCACTGAAATATCTCCCAAAAATTAATGGCAATTCAAACGTTTAAATAAATTTCAATTATTTATTTATTAAAATATATTTAAGTAGGGTAGCCCATCTAGCAAAGCTGATCATTTGGGGCCCTTACATTACATTAAAAATACAATAAAAGTTAATAAAAACTATGGAACAGGTAAAAAGCATAAAAAGATACATGAAACATATTCATAAAAATTCATGAATATATAAAGTATATATATACATATTTCAACATCAACTTTGTAGTTGTTTGTTTAATATTATCCTTGCTTTATCATGTTTACTGAAGGAGTACAGTATTCTTTGTTCTTTGATTGACTATTTGATTTTTGTTTGTTGATAATTATAATCTGAAGGTCACATGATCTATATGGTTTGCTGTAGTCCCTAAATGATCCATTATTAAAATTAAATTTCCATACAGAGTAATGTACTTGGAAACGAAACCTGAGGCTGTAAATCTCCATCGACGTTTGGTAGCTTCATTAATATAAGATGATTCATTATATATTTATATAGTGATACCATTTTGAAGAAATTAATTATTGTTTTTGTGGAACAAAGAGAGTAATGAAATAATTAATTCATAATTGATGAAAACCACAAAGATTATCATACGGTTATCCAATACAAGAGATTGTCTGTTAAAGATGCTGTTAAAACCATTAACAATTATCAGTAGATTTTCACATATGTACGTGCAGTATGTAAGAAGGGGAGGGGGTTCATTACCTTTGTATGCTTTACAAGTACACGAATTGATTCAAATTATTCTGCCAGTCTCAAAAAAATAAAGTAGTTTTCATTGATGAAAATTGTGAAGACAATAAAGCAACTTTATGACATTCCTGAAATATAGTCTTTTCATTAGATTTTTCGTAAAAAGAAAGTAAATAGGCGAACACTAATTAAAAGGTGCCACCAACTTTTATTTCACCCATGAGAGGCAACTGTCAAGTTTGGATGAGGAACGAAATTGGTAGAAAGGCACCTATATGGGTTCAATAGAATAGAAAAATTAATTATAAAACATGACATCCTTTAAAAGAGAGGCAATGGATATTTTTAAATCGCTTTTATGTGATCACAATGAGGAAAGTAATACAAGCAACAGAATTCTGAACAGTTTGTAAAAAATCCTTCTTTTTTACGTTGAATAATCAGAATGAAGCTCGGTTTCCATAGACTCACCCTATCGGCGACAGTCGTCGACAGTTGTAGGGAAGGTTGAACCTGGTTCAACTTCTCCGATTGCGTTACAGATGAATCGGGGTGCATTGCTGGCTGCCCTGACTCCATCAGGAAGGTACCCCAATTCGTCTGCAAGCAATCGGCAAAGAGCCAGGATCAACCTTCCTGACGATTGTCTGCGACTGTCGCTGATAGGGTGCGCGATTCTATGGAAAACAAGCTCGAGTGACAGATTCAAGGGGAGGGGGTGTCGATCCAGCACGCACTCCCCACTACATTTTACAAAATTATTTTAAAAATGGAGTAAAATATAACATAATCAAATTTAAGATTGAGAGTGCCATTTCCGGCCCTCTAGACGTGCCATAAATTTTATGGACTCTTCTATCAGTGAAAGTCCTTCCCTCGAATTTGAATTCCTAGATCCACCACTGATAATCTAATTGAAATGAAGGAGTGGATGTGTTTCAGCAGAAGAGCGAGAGAACGTATTCACCACAGGTTACATATAAAAAAGAAGCAAATTTTGTTTGAAACGATGAAACCTGGGATAGTAGACATCAAGGATAAAATAAATGACATGATATTGGCCATAAACTGATGTTTGCACTCTGTGATTACTTTACTGCAAATTTTACATTTGGTTTGATTGGTTCCTGGTACTGGTAGGGGCATTTATAATGCACCTCTTCCTTGCGGTTATAAAGCGCAGTTCCTTTCCCTGGTTATTGGGTCCACATGCTAAGCATTGCTGCTCATACAGCGCAGTAGCAGGCAACCCCACCAGGTACCCATTTATACTCTTGGGTGGAGAGAGCAATGCAGATAAAGTGTAATTGCTCAAGGACACAAGCGAAATGCACAACGAGGGATTGAAACCCCGACCTCGAGGTTGGGAAACCAAACTGTTTCCGATACGCCAAACCGCTTCCTAAGCGTTAATAATTACTTTTTTTATGGTTTTTTTTGTTCAATTAGAATAGGGCCTACTTGACAGTAATAACACTACTATTGTACTAAACAATCCATAAACAACAACACTGTAGAGCAACACATTAAGATAACGTTTGGAACTAATTTGATGGTTTAACTGATTGTTACTTTAGATTAAGAGTCAATTCATCACACAACCCTCTATCCATTATCTACTGTGAAGTGAATTATTGTTCTACTGGGAGATAACTGGGGTTTAGTGTTTGACCTTGGACTGACCTTCAAGTTCAAGTGTCTGCTGGACACCACAGCTGACCAGCGTGCATTCAAGATCAACAGCTTAAAATCTGAGTGGACATTCAAGGCAAAGTTTTGGTCATCTAAATTTTCTCATCTTCGAGGACATGACCTACATAGAATTATCTTATATTATACTTTAATTAGCTCAATTTTTATCCACGAAGGCCCAAGAGCACATCCAAGAATGAGAATTAATGATAATGGAAAATAATATTTTGAAGTCTGTGAAAATTTCCGAGGTACTTCAGTTGATTGCAATCAAGCTTTTCATAAATATGAACACATTCTATAGCCAAATTCACAATAAATTTGCAACATGTGGGACAAATGTTTTCCACAATACTGTAGAAAGAAGACAATCACTCAGAATTTGAAGTCTTGCTCAAACCAACTCAAACAATCTTGAGTATATAGGCCTACTTGTCTTGTAAAAGGACTGCCAGCCACTTACACTTAAATCCAGGCCAGACTATCAAATTTGATTTCAACAGTTTTTTGTCAAAGAAAATGCTATAGTCTGAACAGACCTTTACAAAGATTACTTGCATATTCTTAGCCCTTGTGCTTAAAATTTGAATAAATTAATAGACCATAATTGGTACTTTGAGTACCCAAATTAAAGTTTCTTTTATTTTTACATCAAACCCACATTCTTAATTCATACTTTACTTCTACCCTTTCATCTTTTCCATGAAACTTTAGATTTTTGTCATTTTTTTTTTCATTTCTGTTTATTTTTTGGTTTCTGCTCTGTAAATTCTAAAACACGTACTGTATATATACACTAGCTCAGATGATTATTCATTCTGTTTCCCTGATTTATGTAAGCCCCTTTACTACAGAAATCCTTAAATTGATTATAGCCAATTTTTAAAGATTTTGTTATTCAACACAGACAGAACACTGTAGCTTTAATAATAAAAAATTAATCTTTTTAGCTTGAAGAGCAGAATAATAATAACTAATAATATTGGGATTTATAAAGAAAGAACATTTTGATTGGAACAAAAATAATTAAAGAGAGCCCATTAAATGTTGGAATAACAAAGTGGAGAGAAGAAAACACAATTTATCAACATGATCAGTAATTACTTTTCAAATTACAAGAAGCAGATTAAACAACCGAATCATGAAAACAAGCTGTGTCGTAAAAATAATATAATTAAATATACAAAGAGTTGTAGAACAATAGCTGAACAGTTCATACCGAAGCCAAGTGCTATTGGTTTTGCCATTAATATTAAAATGATTCCATTTCACAGATATTAAAAATTCCCCGGTAACAGGGAGACTGAGGAATTGAGGTAAGGACAGGCCAACACAAAAAAATCAAACTACTAAAATATCACCTGGTAGATGATACGATGCGATTGAACAAGAATACGATTTTCCGAACATTTCAAACTATTGCTCCTTTAATGTGCTTTTATTTCAAAGCATTTTCAGTTCAACCTTGTGAATTTGTGTTGTGTAGTCATAAAAGTAAGTTAATGGTTCTGATTGTTTGTTCTGCCTTTATACAGTGAGCAAATGATACAATAGACTTGACAATGATTATCACCCGGCCGGCAGGTGTTAGGCCATTGTACCAACCCTTCTATTGCTTTTCATAGTCGACAATAAAGAAAAGATGATTAAATGATAATAAGCTACTAAATTTCAAAAGAAACAAGATTCAGAAACAGACAAGAGACAATTGCAAAGTAAATAGACACAGCCACGATTTTTGGATTATTATGAAGGGAAGCTTAACCAGTTTTAGCATCTGCCTAGCCACCCACGCTAGGTATCCCTATTGTTTAGAGAAATCAAGTTCACAACCAGTGTAAAACTCAAAGATAACATCTTCCTCTGACTGAATGATTTCTCTGCCATCCGGAAAAAGAAAACCAACCAGACGTATAGATCTCCCAGCTACTACGCTGTATCTAGAGATCAACTCTTAAGCGCGGTAACAAAACGTGAATGCACCGCGCAGGTGACCAGGTATGGAGGATGAGAATCGGATTAGCTTTCAAGTAATTATCCTTCATAAATCTTGACTGGTTTTGATACATTTTCCCCCAAATGCTGACGTGCACTGAAAAAACGATTCTCTTCTATTATGTTGAATATTGCTATTCTACACTGAAATCAAAAGCGCGGAAATAACTACTTGAGAGTTATGATGTCCTTGCAGTTAATGTGCAATATTAAATAACATTAATCAAAAGAAAAGGACCAATGCCTGACAGTAAATAAAATCCAGAATGATATATTACCTTGCAAGAACTAATCCTATGCTTAAACTTTATATAAATATTTTTCTAAATAGTAATCCAATAACTTCTAGCAAGATTAAATCAATACATGAAGTAATATACAGATACAAAAAAGTTTTCTATTATGTTAAGTTTTTTTCAATCTAAAATACTGTGTACAGGTATATGGTTTTTTTTAAATTTTTTTATTTTAAAGCATATTAAATTCTATAAACATTTTTATAAAAAGATTAGAGGTAAAGTTGCTGCTTTTTGCGCTAAAGACCCTGGTTCAAACCCAGCCAGCGTCCGGTTTGAATTGGAGTCTGATAGCTGCGCTCTTAACCCTAATAACCCTTGAGTATTAGGTGGGATAAGCGACACTGTATCTGCTACATGTCGGTACTGGCGCTGTGGCTGCTGCGGGTCCTTAGGGGCCCAGCCAAAAATTTCCAGTTTCAAATATTTAAAATTTGACAAAGAAAGAAAAGTCAATCTTAATCTCCTAAAATCCATGGGCTTTACTAAAGTTTGACATAAGATAGTTATGAAACAAACTCCTAAAAAAGTGATACAAGCCATTATTGATTCTATATTTCGAACTATCTCAGTTCATCTTCAGGAATAAATTGTGCCAAACGACAAGCCAAACCAGTCACTCGTCGCAAATCGTGTTTCAGAGAAAACGGCCAAAACATTCTGGAATGTCAAATTTTTAAAAATCTATTTTATTGCATTAAACTCAATTTTATATATCTATACATCATGCTATGCTGTTATTTTTCCCACTTTTTAAGGATTTGATGATAGTTTCTGCATGATAAATGCCTGAAATCATAAACTTTAAAGGCTGATTTTTCATATAATGTTCTTTAAACAGCTGTATGTTTAAACACTGGTAACTTCATAAGGAAATGTCTGATTTGAATGATTTTTTTACCATTTTATAGCTCTTATTTTACTCTTTAACCCTGTATTAATAACTAAAAATCTATATTTACGACAAGTGACTACTTTGGCTTGTCTTGGCCACAATTATGAATTGAATTTTCTTTTTTTATTATTTTTATTTAGTTAATAATAATAATAATAATGGTAGATTTATAGCGCATATTGTTAAGCCCTCTATGCACTTCACATTATCATTATCCTAATCATTGGATTAAAAGCCTATGGAACACAAACTCAAGCTCCCTGGGGGAGTACTTCAAACCGTTACAGCAGCTACTGTGCATCAGCGCATTTTGGCATTTAACCCTACCAGCTACCCACATACTCCTGGGTGGAGAGAAGCAATGCAGAAAAAGTGCCTTACCCAAGGACACAAGTGAAATGCAGTGAGGGATTGAAACCCCGATCTCGAGGTTGGGAGACCAACCGTTCTCGCCATGCCAAACCACTTCTATGTCGTCAAACATCAAAGTTGTGACAGAAATTAATTGAATGCCCAAATATCTCAAGATACACCTCAACTTCTCACCATGAATTATGGAGAAACTGTGAGTACCGCCAATAATGATGATTTCAAATGATTATAAAATTTAATTTTTGGTCAATTAGTGTACCCGCCATCATGAAAAAATGGAAATTTTTTCTAAAAATAAGTTTGTTTTCATTTTTATTACACCCACCCTGTATCCAAAAATAAGATATATATAGGTATATTTCTTCCTAATTTAAAATTAATTAATTAAATTTAAAGCATTTAACTATCCCATTACTACACTGCTTACATTCAACACTGTATACTGTGTAATTTTATTTTTATTTGCTCCATCTGGTTGTTTTTGGCAAAACTATTTGCTAAATAAGAAAACCAAATTTTATATTTATTTTTTTGCCACCCTTCTCTGATTATCTTTAAACAAATATGTTTACTAAACAAGGTATAAAAAAAATAACCAATGAACACTGTATAAATTTTGCAAGGATCTCAGAATGGAGATCCTCAAATTGACTTTTACACTAAAAATAAACTTTTTTTTCCTTATCACTTTTTTCTAACAATTATAAAGATTAATATATCTAGAAAATAAAGTATCTAAGCTGTATTAATCAAATTCCATATTTTTAAGGAAGATTATTTAAAATTAAAATGTAGCAAACAATATATTGAAATTTAATTAGAAAGTCATTTCACAATGTTTAATTGCATATTATACAAAATCAAAGTAATTTATTGTGGACTTCATCTTCCATCTTTCATTTTAATTTCCTATCATATATCTACCAGTTATTGATGCATCTATTGAGCATACTGCATAAGCAATTACGACTTATTGTTCCTACACACAGGTCTAAAAACTCATTGGGGTTGCTATTGTGTGCGATGAATATGTTCTATTATTGCTGTCAGCAGATGTGTTAGTAAAGTGTTCTTGAGAACAATACCAGACCATAAAAAGCTAAGTGATCCTGAAAAGACTTGTAGACCTTGTTGACGGAGTTCGTTTTGTTCGGTATTGATTAACGCAGCCAAGGTTTGCAGACTGTTTCATGAGGCCTACGGTTTGGTCGCTAGGGACTAGTTTGCAAATTATGAAATGTTTAACCGCAGTATTAGGCCTACTGTCATACTGTGCAAGATTCTTCTGCACCACCACCACATAGCTTAATGACACCCTCTTAATGATATCATGTAGGCCTAATGCTGCACTTTAATAATGATATCATTTTATAGTGCATTTTACTGATAGCAACAGATGCCATGTATGTAGGGTCTATTTGAATAACATCTATAGCGCATTTAATAATACCATGTACAAATTAAGGCCTATTTAATGATACCAAGTATAGTCGGTGCACTTAATGGCACAGTGATTATTGTACCGTACAATGCACTTACCATGCATGGTATATTTTAATGATACTATGTATGGTGAATTTTAATGATACCATGTATGGTGAATTTTAACAATACCATGTACGATTAATTTTAACAGTACCACGTATGGTCAATTTTAACGATACCATATACGGTGAATTTGAATCATGTATATTATACTATAATGATACTATGTACATTTTAATTAATGATACTGGCTAGGTCATTCTTTATATAATACATTCTATTATTATTAATATTTTTATTTTCCCAAAATATTTATCATCTTCACAATTAGTCTTTTGCGAGTTATGAAAGTATGCTCTAGTGAAGACCTGTATACCATTTTTATAAACATAGGTTCTTGCAAATCCTTGTATAGGATATCATTGGAAGGATTGATTGTCACAACCCTTTGCAAGACATAATAGCAAAATGTAAAGGGAATAGAATATCTTTAAAGGGTTTATAAGCCAGAATCTAATGATCAAAAGTAATTTAATAATTACAATTATAACAACAATTTATTTTCTGATAAATCAAGTGTACTACTAACTTTGAAAACATTAGCCTCAGCAGTTCATAAATTGTAAAGGTTTGAGAGTCTTTGTAGTTTGTTCTTCACAAAACAGTATTTAACAATAACAATGAGAGAAACATTCAAAACTAAAAAGTCCAACATGGTTGTCCAATTAGTTAATCTGCCCTAAGGCCCACATTAAGTGGCTACAATAGACTACTGTACTGCTAAAGCAACCTTATTGTAATTAAGACAAATAACTTAATTATAATACAGTTTAATACTTAATCCATAAAGAATGTAAATACCTTACCAGGTACAGTATGGAGATTAAATAATAGTATTTATATTAAAAAAATATATTTTTCACATTAATTTCAGGCTTTAAATGAAACAAAATTGAAATAATATATGCATACATTTGCAATACCCACATTTTGCCTTTCAGATATTCTATTTTTTATACTAATTTTGCTATCGAGTCATTAGGGAGGTCTTGCAAGCCCACGTTAACAATAACGAATACTGTTACGTCATTAAACTTTTAATCAAACCATCCCCGAACATAGCATATCTTCACAATGTAGGCCATCGCTGTTTTTAATATAAATCACTGATCATATTTAGCTGGTACAGGTATAGTAAAGAATGTTTTAGGAAAGAGATTGACGATAATGAAAATTATGTATTTATATTCATTATCGTTTTTGTAAGCTTGTGAAATCTCCCTGTTGTCACTAGCTATAAACCCAACAAAACTGTAACTAGCAATGCATACAAGTACAAAGATTTAATTACAGTATCTATTTTAAAAACTTATTTATCACTCTCATATGGGGCTTATAATGAATGAAAATTGACAAATTAATATGTTTATTTGTCAAACTAAACTTTTGCCCTTTCAAATATTGGATACTTTCAGGAGGATGTTTTTTCAACAATCCATGTCAATTATTTTGTCTTCCTAAGAGTACAAGGAGGTAGGCATCTTCCATAATATCATTTAGTGTAATAAAAATAATATTGTATCTTTAGCTAATACAGTATCCCATGTATTTGATCATCCGTGTAGTGTTGTTAAGTTTGACTGTATTTCTGGTTTAACACAAAAAAGAAAAATGTAGAAATATTAGTTTTATAATTTTCATTATTTTTATCATTTTTATCATTAATTTTTTTAGGCTATTTACTTATTTTATTTTAACTTCTGAGTATTAAAAAAATAAAAATACAAAATAATAGAAGTTGTTCATCAGGGGCTATGGAGGATAAGCAAAAGAAATAGAACTGTCATCAAAATATTTGCTTATCCAATAACGATTAATTGTCATTAGCTATCATTAAACATGTTTCCATTTCAAATTTGTACTGTATATATTGAAGCAGCACAAATTAATTAAATAATTAATAATCAATTATACTGTATAACCTAATGAAAAGGAAATTTTATTAAATTAAGGCTGATCTTACATCATGAGAGGCGGCCTTGGTTGTCGCTCATATGGGCTATCAACCCTAGTCAAAGCCACACCACTCGCAGTTAGACAGAAATAACTACTTGACATTTCATACAAAAGAAGCATGGTGGGATATTATTATTTGCATATTGAATCAAACAAATTTTCATAGTAGCATTACAAAAACAAAAAAAAACTAATTCACATGATAGATATTATAGAAAAAAACAATATTGTCTTGAATTCACTGAATAATTGATTAGTTAATTGATTGTTTGATTGCGTGATTATTTGATTGATTAATTGAATGCTTTATTGATTGGGTGGTTTGGGTTGATTTAGTGTACAAATATTTTGGTGAGAGAGGCACTTTAATGAAGATAAATATTTTGGTTGGGTGTACATGTGTTCACTTGTAGGTAGTAGCTGGCTGGTCAGTTAATTTGTTGGTCAGTCAGTTGATTGGTTGGTTTGTGGTTTGATTGATTGATAGGTTGATTGAATGACTGAATAGTAGTTTGGATGGTTGATAGAAATGGTGATTGGTTATTTGATTCATTCAGGGGCGGATTTAGGGGGAGGGCCAGCCCGGCCCCGGCCCCCCCCCTCTTTTGGGAAGACAAAAAAAGAAAAAAGAAAGAAAAAGAAAAAAAT